ATAGATTGGATGAAACCAGGCTCAATAGCAATAACTGGGAGAGGGATCTTGGAGTCTTAGTGGACAACCAGCTAAATATGAGTCATCAATTTGCAGTGCCAACCAAAAAATCCAATGCAATCCTAAATTGCATTAACAGAGGGATACAATCGAGATCAAGGGAGGTACTAATACCACTCTATAAAGCCTTAGCAAGACCACACCTGGAATACTGCATTTGTTTTTTGGTTGCCACACTATAAAAAAGATATTGAGACTCTAGAAAATGTACAGAGAAGAGCAACCAGGATGATTAGGGGACTGGAGGCTAAAACATACAATGAACGGTTGCAGGAACTGGGCCTGGCTAGTCTAGGGAAGAGAAGGACCAGGGGAGACAGGATAGAGGTCTTCCAATATCTGATGGGCTGCCACAGAGAGGAAAGGGGTCAAGCTATTTTGCAAAGCACCTGAAGGCCAGAGGAGGAATAATTGATGGAAATTGAACAAGGAGAAAGATTCAATCTAGAAATATGGAGAAATTTCCTGACATTGAGAGCAATCAACCCATGGAACAGAAGTTGCCTTCGGAAGTTGTGGGAGCTTCACCACTGGATGCTTTTAAGAAGAGACTGGACTGCCATCTGTCAGAAATGGTGTAGGGTCTCCTGCTTGTGCAGGGGGTTGGACTAGATGACCTACAAGGTCCCTTCCAACTCTGTTAATCTGAGTCAAGCTAAAGGACCTGAAGGCAGGAGAAGAAGCAACGGATGGAAACTAATCAAGGAGAGAAACAACCTAGAACTAAGGAGGAATTTTCTGACAGTGAGAACTATTAACCAGTGGAACAACTTGCCACCAGAAGTTGTGGGCGCTCCTTCAGTGGAGGTTTTTAAGAAGAGCCTGGACAAACATTTGGCTGAAATGACGTAGGGTTTCCTGCCTGAGCAGGAGGTTGGACTAGAAGACCTCCAAGGACCCTTCCAGCTGTTTTATTATATCCTATTCTACCATGAAGCGTTATATAAATCTAAGTACTGTTGCTATTAACAACTGCCTCACTTAGTAGCATAAATTTTGAGGTGGTAGGTCGAGGACTCCCTGCAATGAAAATATAATCATGTTTTATGATTTAATTCACTCTCTTGTGCGTATTTTGGAAGGTGGATTTTTGAAAACAAACAGCGTTTGAACCGGGTTTTAATAAGATTTGCAGAACTGATAATTTTTTTCCCACAGGGGTAAATTTTAAATTAGTAAGGAGGATAGAAAGAAAGGGGAAGAAATAACAGAAACAGAGACAGAGGGGAAGGCAGGGCAGTTTCCATTATCAATGATGAATAATTTTGTTTAAAAAAGCGTGTCAAAGTTGGCTAGGCTGTGATTGTTCTCTCTACCTTTGTCATTATTGCAAGGATTGGATTAGCGGCAGATCAGTTCCAGAATATTTTTATTAATTTACTTCAAAAGCATGTCATCCTCTCGCGGCTTAACCCATTTCAAGACATGTCAGGAAGATAAAATAGGTGATATTTACTCATTAACTCCGCCGATGAGCTTCTAAAAGGAGAAGGAGATTTTTTTTAAAAAATAATAATAATAATTTCACGATTTTCGGCCTGGGGAGGAGTACCGAACATTCAATTAATTTACTCAGTGAATTGGTAGCTTTCTCCCTCCTAAACGTTTACACGTAGTCCTCGACTTACGACCACAATTGAGCCCGAAACCTCTGTTGCTAAGCGAGACAGCGATGAACCAAGTTTGGCCCCATTTTACGACCTTTTTGCTCCAGTTGGGAAGAGAACCACTGCCGTGGTTAAGTGAATCATGCAGCCATGAAGCGAAACTCAGAAAAGGAGATCGCGTGACTCCTTGATAGTACGACAGTCATAACTATGAGTCAGTTGCCAAGCGTCTGGATTTTGATCACGGTGTCTGCAGGGAAGGGGCAACAGTCGTTAAGTGTGAAAATGGTCATAAGTCACTTTTTTCAGTGCTGTTGTAACCTCAAATGGTCCCTTAATGAATGGCTGGGGCTATCTGTACTCAATTAATTTCCCGATACTTCCTTGTGTATTTTAGAGAAACCAGAAGCAATAAATCTATCTATTTATCTATCTATCTATCTATCTATCTATCTATCTATCTATCTATCTATCTATCTATCTATCTATGTGAAATACCACTCACGCATCATCACAAAATCTCCAGAACCATAAAGCCTACAAACTTGAAATTTGGCACCTATGTTCCTCTTGGCTTCTAGGGGCTCACTAAGAAAGGATTTTTCAAATTGACCATCAGAGCATCAGTGTTTCCTATATTGTTATTATTAACACGCTCTGATGCTAAAGAGTTCTACTCCCCCTCCCCACCTGAAAAGAAATCTCTTCCAAATGCAAAACACAAGCAGAGGAGAGGAGTTTCAGTTTCACAGCACCAAGCAACTTTAGTACAGAACAGTTGAGCTAGGTCACACCCAGGCTCCTTGCTGTCTCCTTCTTGCTCACACAGCAAATACTGTTTCAGTTTCCAAACAGCCCTCAACTCTCTCACACCCTGACAGGACGCTAGCCAGAGGACTACCATTGGATGCTGGTAGGCACAAGCAGAATTTTTCCCCCCTTATTTTCCTTCCAAAAAAACTAAGCCCGACGACATAGTTTCGTAGCAAAGCACGGGTATCGAGCTAGTAAATAAATAAAGTATAGACCCACAGCTTATAAATAAATTTTATGCATTTTTTTTTTAATTCCGTTGAGTGGGGGATCGGCCCTTTCAAAATGACATTTTTAAAAATTATTATTATTGTTAATATGAAAGTTATGCGCTGCCAATCTCATCTCCAGCAAGCCTGATTTAAAGCCAAGGACGTTGAACAGAGGCAAAAAGATTAAAATAGAAAGACCGCTTTGCAAATGACAATCTATCAATCAATGAGAAAAGTTCTACCACGGCTGGGGAAAAAAACCAAAAAACCCAAGACTTTTCACACAAAATGGAAACCAAAATTCAGGTGAGTTTCACCCAGCAGTTTAATCTGGATCTATGCAAATAATCCCAAATTGAAAAAGGACCGCAGAATATTTTCTTTTTTTAAAAAACATTTCTCTACTGTTACCCTGCCTTTATTATTTTTATAAAGAACTCAAGGCGGTGAGCCCCGGTAATGCAGGCAGTCCTCGACTTACAATGGTTCGTTTAGTGATCGTTCAAAGTTACAACGGCACTGGAAAAAAGGAGATACTATAGTTTTTTCACACTTAGGACCACTGTAAG